TATTGCATATATCAGTATCTGCCACAACATTCTTCAGCAATGAATAAACTTAAAATGTTGACGTTCTTCAATATTTTAAATTTCCTTTATGACTCTCTGTGCGATTTCAGGATTCCGTCTCCTCCATTTTGTTTTATATATATTTGATTAGTTTAGTCTAGCTCAGTGATATAGTTGCGCGTCATACAATAATAATTAATTACAAATGCAAAACTGGTCCATCAGATGAGCTTGATAAAAAGGACGGTAAACTAAGCGTTCAAAATATTTATTACACTTGAGTTAACCCTATGATCCTTGCGATCCTGAACAATTTTAACCCTTCTGCCTGAGCTCTTGAGTCAAAATTCGCAAATAATTGCTATGTAATGTTTCACGGTAGATATATAAAAGAAAGTTACAAAAATATAAGCATTATTATTAGCAGGGAGAGAGTATGAGTTCATGCCTTCACTTTATCGCTAGAATTCTTTCTTTGTGTCCCAGTCTACCCAGCAGGTGCTACCTGTCTTGATGCAGAAGAATAGCAAAACATGACGTATGTGTTTACCCACCGTTCAAACAGTGGCTGGGCATTAAGTCATTTTTCTCTACCACCGGCAAAGCGGTGGCTAGGGCTCAAAGGTTTAAAACCACAGATAAAAATATTCCGTAGGAGGATTGTATTCCGCCAATTATTCCAAGTCAAGAAGATCAGCATTTGAAACATCTACATTTAACTAAACCTGGCTCGGATAGAAAAATATCAGTGATCGGCACGAAGCAATTCCTATATTGATATGTAATGTAATGATGAGACTGAAAGACATTTACATATTTATAATGGATTGTACCTATAAATATTGATATGTAATAAATACTGGTCATAAAACTATACGGTATATATGTAGGCTGCCTCTTTAACGTAAAAAAAAAACTGTTCAGATTAAAAAAGTCTTTGCGAAAAACAGGCCAACATTTTTCATTTTCTTGCTTCATTTTTTGTCTGCATCTGAACAACATTGAAAAATCTATCATCGATTCTTCTGTTTCAACTTCTTTCTATTATTTGACATCTTTTGTTGTTGATGTTGTTCTTCTTCTTCTTAAAAAATATTGAATGTTTCGTCCTTACATAAGTGAATCAAAAGCTTTGCAGTTCTACAGACTTTTTCTCAAATACTTGATAAAGAAATTCCTTTTACAATGTATAAAATATTTCTGAAGTTTGTAAAAGCGGGTTTGAAACCATTTAAGTATTATGTACACACATGTATATATATATATATATATATATATATATATATATATATATATATATATATATATATATATATATATATATATATATATATATATATATATATATATATATATATATATATATATATATATATATATATATGTAAATATATATATATGTATATATATATATATATATATATATATATATATATATATATATATATATATATATATATATATATATATATATATGTATATATATATATATGTATATATATATATATATATATATATATATATATGTATATATATATGTATATATATATATATATATATATATATATATATATATATATATATATATATATATATATATATATATATATATATATATATATATATATTAAAAAGAAGAGAAGAGTGGTGCCGCAAACGTTTTTGGTTGCAATGTGGATTTTTTAAAAAATATTATGCTTTATTTTCCATAATTTTACTACACGTGTTTCTGGTCTCGCGGCCGTCTTCAGGAGATTTCCACATATTATTAAAAATAATTAATTTTTTCTTTTGTTTTTCAATGTTAAATATTCTCGATATGAAACATTTTCTGTGTTAGTAATCCGAATTTCTTTCTTGAATTGGCAATGAAGAGTTCTGCGCGAAGGGTCATAAAACAATTAAGGTTGGTCCAAGCGAAATGATGAATTGCTTATCGGCATTTTATCTTTTGATGTTTTACTGACCCCTATGTGTTCTTGGATCTGTTTCCATTTTTGTGTGTTTCTGTCAGCATGCGTGTATATATGCGTGTATATATTCCCCCCATACATATACTGTCTTACTACGAGGAATTAGTAAACTCATTTGTACATATACACGCATACATAGACATACTCACATACACACCATTCCACAACAAGGAATCAGTACACACACACACACATAAACACACACACATACTTCCCAAGTTACATGGAACCAGTATACACATACACACATATGTACGTAAATACATACACACGTACTTCCTAAGTTGTGCGGGGTTTGTGTGCGTGCTCGTTAGTAGTTACCATGTTTTGTCAACATATATATATATATATATATATATATATATATATATATATATATATTCGTTTCTCCCCTATCTGAGTGTGCATTCATGTGAGCGCGTGTTCATGCATGTGAGTGATTTGATCACTGTATTTGGTTACCTTGTGTGCATGTTGTGTGATTTTGCGTGTTGGGTTATGATCTATTTAGTTCGGTTTTAATTTGTTTATAAAGTTCTTTCCTTGTATTTGTAGGTACGAGTAATTGTCTGTTTGATATATCGGCATGATATTAAATTTACCCTGGTTACATTTGAAAATATGTTGTGATACAAAAAATGTTCTCTTGTCTGTCAATTTTATATTGCTTTTGTGTAGGGAGACCCTGTTGTTCAGTTGTTGGCTGATGCCTATATATGACTCCGTACATTTTGTGAATTTAAGTACATAAATTACATTTTTGGAGTTGCAGTTTAAGTTTTTATTCATTGTGAATGTTTTTTGGGGGCTTTTCAAAAGTGTAGGAGTTTCCTTCTATATTCACATCTTTTTTTTTGTTGCATTTTGTGACTCCCTGTATTGTGTGTTGGTTAAATTTAGATGAGGTTAATATGTGTTTTAGGTTTCTAGATTGGCGTTTGCTTTTAATTATTTTGGTTGTTTGTAGTATATTATTCAGTTTATTATTCTTGCTAAGTAGGTCTAAATTTTTTGTAATTTCTGTGAATATTTCTGGATTGTTTTTGTTGTATCTTGAGTTTGTTCGAGGTTACGTTTCTTTTTATATCTAAGTTGGTCTAGAGGAATTTTAAACCTTTATTTATTAGTGTTGTGGGTAGCCTCGTTTTTTGAGAGTTTTATGTAGTTCTTCTAAGCGGATTTTTCGGAGATGTTTATCAGTCACTATTGTACAAATTGTATGTGCTAGGGAATAGGGGATGGATTTTAGGCAGCTTTGTGGGTGGTGGCTCTTGAAATGAAAAACAAGGAAAAAATTAATCATTTTTAATAATATGTGGAAATCTCCGCCTTTTACCTAAAGACGGTCGCGAGACCAAAAACACGTGTAGTAAAATATGGAAAATAAAGCATAATATTTTTTTTTAAAATCCACATTACAACCAAAAACGTTTGCGGTATCTCTTCTCTTCTTTTTAATATACATACTTTTCTCTGGTTGGAACCACTACAACCTTTTTCTTATATATATATATATATATATATATATATATATATATATATATATATATTCGTATATTTGAATACAAATACATCCATATATATATATATATATCTGTGTGTGTGTGCGTGTTTGTGTAGTCTTGCTAACATTGCTTAAATGACTTCCTTCCTCACAAAATAATTAAACGAGACTTCTTTTCTAAATTTAACTAAGAAGCACGTATATTATTTGTAACTAATCAAAAAATAATTATCTGTTCCTGTCAATAAAAAAAAAGCAGATGAAACTAAAATTGTGTCATTATCATATCTTTTTTATGGTTAGATCTTGCATTACGTCTACTCTTGAATTGACTTGGGTTTTGTTTGTATTTGGTGTGTAATGGGAAGGGGCGATATGAAAATTATTTTAGGTTTTAGATATTAGTAATAAGATATTCACAACTGTAAACGGACAATCCATTTTTCTGGCACTATAAATGAAAATAATTAAACAAAGAGGGAGAAAAATAGCCGATCATCAAATCAGTTCAAAATCAAAAAAGATTTTCACCATCTTGTTCTGGCAGCAATATAATTATATATATATATATATATATATATATATATATATATATATATATATATATATATTATTATTATTATTATTATTATTAAATCGGAGATCATACATGACTAATTCCAGTAAATATTATGGATCTTTCTTATACTGAGTAGATTCTTTCCAACCTTTTTTGATTTCGGTAATATGGAAAGTTAACTGTTTCATTATATCACCTTTTCCTTCCATTTGTTATAACCATTTTTGTTGTTGCTTCTATTAGAAGCGATTCAATGATGTTGTTTTTTTCTATTTTGTTAAGCTTATTCTTTTTATTTTGTAGCTCCAGTCTGAAAGGTCTGAAGATATTTTTTTCTTTTTTAAGTCTTATGTGATATATAAGTGACACCTTACGAGCAAAATACGTGGCAGTCAAATAAGGTGTATAGGTCATTTGTGAATCAATCCCTCAGCTCATTACCATGGTCATTTGTTTCCCTAAAAATATTCAATTTTGTTTGCTTCACGAACATCCCCCTCCTTGTGTTCAAAATGTACTATTTTGTAAACTTTTCAAAACACATTTGGACTTACGGCATTATACTTGTAAGCTTCAGTGATCCATTGCCAAAAATTTTCTGTACTTTACTCCGGATTAAGCATGAAGGAAAAACATTTCTATTATGCATCTTATAATCAGTTGTGATTTTTACTAATAGAAAGATTGACTGATTGATTCGTATTTTAAGGCTTATCAACCGACTGCATGTTATTTAAGGCCTAAGAAATATTTCTAGACTGTAAGAATTTTTTTAGATAGTAACGTTTAGTGATATAAGTCATACTAATCAACCATAGCTGGGAGGAGAAGGGGTGGATTTATAACTTTTGCAAGGGTATTTACGCGTAAGTGAATATAAAGAACTTAACCGTCATTTGAACTCGGTTGTTTACCGATTAAAAATTCCACGACCTTATACATTACATCATCCACACATCCAATC